GCTGTCTTCCCTCTAGTCTTACACTGCTAAATTAGGGACGGCTAGCGCAGATAGCCCTCGTGTAGCTTTGCGCGAAATTCACAACAAACAATATTTCGTTGGAAACTAGCCATATCCTACAAGTTCACTAATCCGGTTGAAACGAAGCTGTAATAGCGAAATATTGAACCAATAAAAATACGTTCTGAAGATATTTTATTTACGTTAATAGAAATGTCTCATAATAAACTCCAGTTTGCGTTAAAACCAAGGTACGAATCATAGTATGCCAACAGATTTATTTAATGTTCAATTGCGAACACGGAGTGGGCAGTAATACATTTTACAAACACCACACACAGACGTGTGTTTATATACATATATATATATATATATAGAATAATACTCAAGACAAATTACAAAGGGTAAAACGCACTTTATTTGAACGATTTATACAAGTCTGTTTCAGAAGTTTCGTACAAAACCATACACACGTTATCTGCGCATAGCTGACCTTAATTTTGAACTGACAGACTGTCAAGAGAAGGCAAAAAGCCAACAGTACCTACCATTAACTATTGGGCTATTCTTTGAGATAGAATGGTGGAATTAGACCGTTACTTTTAGAGGACATTCATTGCCCCAAAAGGCACATTTTTTGGGGGCAACGGACTACTGCGAACCAATAGGCAGCCCAGTTTTTATATTTTGATACAGTAAGGTATCACAGTAGATGCGAGTCGTGGCGCCACTGGCCACATGTTTAGCAGCTGTGTATTTGGTTCTTAATGATTTCCTTACCATTCCACTGTACAAATACCGCCAAATATGAACTTATGGCTAGAGGAAATTCGGCTTCACTCGAGACATATTTTACTAATACTATTACCGAAGTGTATCACTTCTAATTTGGTCCCAAGTCCTTAGCAGAGTCGTTCATGGTGCACTCTCAGAGAGATACTTCTCTAACTTGTAACCTGCATACCAACAATTAAATCTTTTGAATCCCACCATCACAGGTTGCGTTTCTATATTTGAAGTTTGTGATTTATAGCATGTTGCAAAACTAACACATAAAACACAAGGAGTGAATTGAAATAATGAATATGCTTATTTGACATAATAATATCACTTGATTTCGAATCGCCTGCATTTTGATTACTGTCCCATTCTAAAAGCCCCCCAGTGTGTTTGCGGACTTACAACGTTAGAAACCGGGTTTCGATACCCGTGGTGGTTAGAGCACAGATAGCCCGTTGTGTAGCTTTCTGCTTAATTAGAAACAAAAAAAAAACATTTTAAAAATATTATTTGCTCTGAAAACGAACTTTTGAGTCACGGTGACGCCCAAAGTTAACTCATTCAATATATAAACTAGAAATGGGGGATTTATTTAAAGTGGACACATTCTTACGGCCATTTCAGAAAAATACATTTCTCACTATAAATATTCACTGTATTAAATTCAACTTTTTTATCCAGTCGGGAACTTTCATATTTTCGTCCTTAGAATGATGGGGTTGAATATTTCAACACACTTGTTGTCCAACCACACCGAAAGCTGGTGACCAACCAGGGTCAGAGTTACAACGTGCGTTGTAAGTACCAGAAAAAGGAGAAGACAATTAATTCCAACGTGGACGTCAAGTAAGCCTAATTTATTTTTTCTTCATAATATATGTTTAGATATTTTCCATTAAGAACTCCCGAGTTGAACATTTCTTTACAAGGAGCTGTGAAATATATTACCTCAAACCCTTCAAAGCCACCATCTTGTAATGGAATGGACAATAAAAGGTATTTTTCCATGGCTCAGTTAGTACTAATGGTGCTTATAAATCAAACAACAAAGTATATTACCTCAAACCCTTCAAAGCCACCATCTTGTAATGGAATGGACAATAAAAGGTATTTTTCCATGGCTCAGTTAGTACTAATGGTGCTTATAAATCAAACAACAAAGTATATTACCTCAAACCCTTCAAAGCCACCATCTTGTAATGGAATGGACAATAAAAGGTATTTTTCCATGGCTCAGTTAGTACTAATGGTGCTTATAAATCAAACAACAAGAAAAATGGTGTCGTTTTTCTGAAAACATTAATCAATTTAAAAATAATGTTAAAAAAAGATTCTCTAGGTATTGTAGCCAACAGGGTTTTAGTTAATTCTATAAAATTATTTATAACTATATTGGCTAACCTCACTAACCATTGAAATATATATATATATTACAGCGCTCTTTATGTTGTTTTGGTTTGAGGGGTATTAAACTTTTTTTAAGTGTTTCAACACCAGGATCGCTGCTTTTTTTAAATAATTTATTATAATTCTGAACACCTTGTGAATGCTCTGTCTTGTTTCTCATGTTAAATAACTCTGTCACGTGACTGACATGAGCTGTTTAATGCTGACATAGAAGTAAAGAACAGCGGAAGAAACAATTAAAAAATATATTTTGTTCGGAATTTCGTGTAAAGTTACAGAAGTGCTATCTGTGCATAGTCGTCCCTATTTTTAAAACGATAGACTAGAGGAAAAGCATCTATTCTACAACACCCACCGCCAGTTATGTTGCTGCTCTTTTATCTGACCGAATAATGATATTTAATAATCACTGTTATAGCGCACACTGGTGGTTAGAGTGCTCGACTCGCAAGGTGCAGGTTCGAATCCCGTCATTCAATATGCTCTCTTATTCAGCCGTGGGGGCGTTATAATCATACGGTCAATCCCACTCTTCGTTGGTGAAAAGTAGCCCCAGAGTTGGCGGTGGAGGTAGTTGAGTGGCTGCCTTCTCTCTTGTCTATCTCTGCTAAACTAGGGACGACTAGTGCAGATAGCCACTAAAGGATCTTTACGCGAAATCAAACAAACAAGCCCCTCCAGTGGCACAGCGGTATGTCTCCAGACTTACAACGCTAAAAACCGCGTTTCGATACCCATGGTGGGCAGAACACAAATAGCCCTTTGTGTAGCTTTGTGCTTAACTACAAAACATAGAAACAAACTTAGAGCGCATCACGACGCCAGAGTGCATAAACGCTGCAACAGGTCATGAACCATTAATCCTCGGTTTCACAGTCATTTAGCACGCTAACTACTGAGACACGCGCGGCCCCTTCTAAATTATACACACACCAGCATTGGAACATACACATACAGTGGTAAAAGGTGGATGAACTATTTTATTTACAGTTATTGCTTTTGGTTAATCTAATGTTTAAATTGTGAGTAAATCCAGCCTGTGAAAATAAAACAATCAAGGCTACTTGCTTATCGTCACGGTACTGTCATGGCACGCAATGGAGTAACCGTTTTTAGTCAGGACTAACTCTACCGTTAGTGTTCTTTGTACGTGTAACGCTTATTTCTCTCAAAGAAAGTTAAAAGCTATCCTGATGAATATATTTAGTAAAATATGGAAGGTTCACTTACGTTTTTTAAAGACACAGTCATGTCGGATTCGAATTGGCCATGGTCCAGTAATAGCTGTGTTTACCAAAAACTACCTAGCATAGATGGAAGCCACTTTTATTACAGCAGTTGTAATGACTCTGTTGTTTTTACAAATGTTAAATTCGTCACGCTAACAAACCGTCACTTTCTGCCTGTGATATGATAGCCGGAAGTTACGTAATGTGTGAGTGTGAAAACATTTTATTGTTTTGACTTCCTTCTCTTTATTTACCTTTTGTTTTTTTTATGTTTTCGTCGTGCATGTTGTAAATGGATCTACGACAGGGTTTCTGAAACCTTTCTGAGTTGTTGATCCCTTGACGAACTTATAAAGTTGACATCGATCCCCAAATGCTCAGAATATAAATTATAAATGAAACTTCAATATATAATCAACTGTGATAAAAGTTTAGATAAACGACCTTTACACTCCAGATGTATATATATATATTTGTTTTTTATTACTACCAACGTTTCCCTTTACGGCTTCTTCAGGGTTAACACATAGAAACTGTCTTATATTGAAGTATACGTTAATTTATAAAATTGATTGCGATGTTACATCCCTCGAGTCTGTCGCACGTGTCTCCAACAATGTATAAAATATCATTGTTGTTTCATTATTGTTCTAATATAGTACACTTATATTACGTGGCTATACTAACATATGACATTTATTATTAAAATTAAATAAAAAATAAATAAGAGCACCGAAATATGTTTTATGATTAACTGAAAACACACAGACAGACAATAGAAGTTGCTAAGAAACAGTAGTAAGTGGAAAGGATTCGAAATTTACTAGCAGTGTAAAAACTAATTGTAGCAACCTTACCCTAGGAGTAATTTTGGACTCCTAGGTCTTTATTCACCCCTGTACAGTCTCATCAACCACATTGAGAATCCCTGATCTACAACGTGTGATATAAATGACAGATTATCCTTTGTTAACATCCCATGTAAGACTCTAGTCTGTTTGTTCGGTGCTTTTTCACATGTTTCATGTGAGTCAAACATGTTTAACTTTTGAGTAGAGTTGTTTAAACATTTGTTTAACAACAGTTGAAAGCTTGGAATGGTCTATTCTTTCATTGGGGTGTGACCCTGGACACTACCACCAATGAAATATTAGACCAAACCAAGCCTTTATAGTAGTGAGGTATCGAACTAGTATATTTAAGTGTTTTATAGAAAGAATAGACCATTCGAAGCTGTCACTTGTTGTTAAACAAATGTTTAAACAACTTTATTCAATTATGTACTACAGCTGCCCAGTGTCGGCTAACAATACGAAGAATTAAATTGTGGCGAAATGCTACAAGTTCTTCAAATACTTGTAGAATGATAGGTTTATTTTTTATTTTTTTTTGTGAGTGCAAAACACTTAAATAACCAGTTCGATGTTTAATTTTGTTCGTAGTCAGCATATTATGTATGACACCAAGCTTTTAACATGTTATCTGTGACTTTTTTTCTGATTCTCCTGTCTCTGTTTTAGCATACCTTGACTGTTATAGAATGCTGTGTGACTTTAAGCTGACTGCTGTCTTTGCTTTAAAATGTTGTGTGTGACTCTAAGCTGACTGCTCTGTCTTTGCTCTAGATTGTTATGTGTGATTTTAGTATGACTGTTCAGTTTTGCTTTAAAATGCCTTTAGTTCGACTGCTCTGCTTTAGGATGCTAGACTTCAGTCTGGCTATTCTGTATTTATTAGTCTGACTACTCTACTTTTGCTCTAAGATGCTATCTTAGATTTTAGTCTGACTATTGTATCTTTGTTTTAGGATGCTATGTGTAACTTTAGTCTTAGTGCTCTGTTTTTGCTGTAGGATGCTATATGTGACTTTAATTTGATGTCTGTGCTCTAGGACCCCGTGTGACTTTAGATTGGTTGTTCTGTCTTTGCTTTAGAATGCTATATGTCACTCTAGTCTGCCCTGTCTTTGCTCTAGGATGCTACGTGTGACTTTAATTTGACTGCTCTGTTGTTGCTCTTGGACGCTGAGTGTGAATTTAGTCTGGTTGTTCTTTCTTTGCTTTAGGATGCTACATGTGACTTTAAGGTCAGTTGTTTTACCTTCGCTGTAGTTTATTATGTGTGACTTTAATCTGACCGTTTTATCCTCTTCCAGCATGTTAGGTACGACACCAGTGTATGTCACAACTCCAATGCCCGCCTGTACTATGAAGATTTTCCATGTAGTTGCTGATCAAGAATTCGTTGCTGAGAATGTGAAAATTGGTGACCGTCTTACACTTGTTATTAGCATTGACGTTCAAGGTAAGTTTAAAAGGCATCATCACGTTATGTTTATAAGATACAAGTTTTTCCAAGATACCCCAACCCCAGTAACTTAGCGGTAAGGTGGGGACTGCTAAAATTCAGATTTGATAGGGACAGATAGGTAGATAATTGTATTCGCATCTGTAAGTGAGATATTATGACACAAAACGTCCTTTCCTTTACCTCACGGTAATTAGTTATGTTCGTTTATTTGTTCACCTGAACGACACAATGGGCCAAACGGCTACGGTTCAGGCATAGCCGTCACTAAACAGAAAGGAGTCACCCAGTCGGTAGCACCACGTTATCTTAACCAAATTGGTTGTCACCACACAGCTGTTCGGTAGTACAACGTTTGGAATCCGAGGCGCTAGAACCTCCAGCCTCGTTACACTAACCACTGAGCCGCGCTCGGGCCTTGCATTGTTAGAGTGGTTTAATAGAGGACGACGGTACAGGTAAGCAGATACCACGTGTAACAAGAGGATCGAGTATTTGGCAGGTAAAGATTGAGGGAGGTGTTTGTAACTTCATAATAATCATGTAAAAACATCTACCAGAAGTAGAGTTAATAAAATCTACAATAATAATTAGTCTTAATAACACGATGATCAGCTGAAATACCAGGTAAAGAAAGCTTTTCTCCACCAAAGGCTTTTCCCTTTGAAGTCCTAAAGATAACTCAACAAGTGTGAAATCCCAGCCCAATAAGCCGCTGCGCTCTGAAAGCGAGATTATTTTCATTCAGGTTGACCTGCTTTCAGACAGCTCTTCCAACTCCCGTATGGCAATCGAGTAGTTAGTTAGCCTGGCACAGTCAAGTGTAGGCCGCCAACATCCACCTGAACCATGAGATAATAGATAGCCTAGATTGGAACTCACGACTGAAGCTACACACATCATTACAAGCCAGTTAGCAATTGTAGTGCTGTACAAACCTAATATAATTATTAGCAATAAACGCATTATGATAATACGACATCGTAAAAAAATACGTATTATATGTGATATTGAGGGTTAAACAACCGGCCAAGGGTCAGAGACTCTTACAGAACTGAAGTATAACTGATCCTAATTTTGAACTAGTGACCTAAGGTAAGGCAACCAAATAGCAGTACAAGGGCTTTGACTTGTTCTTTTAACGAGTAGTCGCGTTTATAACATGGCTACAACTGAAAGCGCGAAATATGTCCAGCAGTATCATGTTTTAAACTTCGGACCCTTTAATCCGCAGCCCGACACCCTTACCACTAGGCCATGCTTAGCGTAGAAAATACATGTTACTGAAATGTTTATGAATCTTATTAATTCGTGAGTTGAAGTTCTGGATTGTTTTTATATTTTGAAGAACATATCGTCAGAGAAAAACAGAGTAAGTAGCTAAATTCTTATAATGATAAAATACTGGAAATAAAATATACTCTTGTGAGGAAAAATGAAAAAACATTGTGCATTTAAAATGCTATACAGTTTTCAGTGTATTTCCAAATACTTACCGGTTGATACTTCGTATTTTGTAGATACCTACGGAATGAAGGTGACAAACTGTTTAGTTCGGGATGGCCTGAGCTGGGGAGAACAGCCTTTAATTAACAACGATGGGTAAAGTATCAAAAAATGTTATTGTTTTAAGATTTAACTACCATCCATAGTTACGTGTTCTCGCGTAAATAACGATGTAACGTGCAATGAAAATTATTTATTAGTCATTTCTGATGCATCTCACTGATTTTACCTTATTCACTTTACGTGTTTGACTTTAATTTCTAAAGTTCAGGGTTGGCTTTCATTTAACTTTAATTCTTGCGAAATATCGTAGTATGTTATGTTCCCTTCTTCGTGGTATTTTTGAAATTCGTAATCTTTATGGAGCTCTACAAACTATACTATATAGTTTCAATAGATTCAGAAGTAATGGTAAAAATATTGGTTTAGTTTTCCAAGTTTAAAAACTTTGTAATATTTATTCCAATGTTCAGCAGACGCCAGAACAATGGATATTTTTAATACGAAGGGAAGTATATTTGAGTTTTGATTTATTTACGTATACTAATAATTGTACACTTCACATTAGTCCGCCTAAGGAAATAGGACACTCTGTATAATTACAACTTTATTAAACTTTGCACCCTTAAAAACAAACGGTGAAAATTGAAAATATATGTGATTGATGCACCTTTTAAGATGTATCTCCTGCAATAGTGTCCCCCGGTGGGGCAGCGGTAAGTCTACGTACTAACAACGCTAAAATCCAGGGTTCGATACCCCCGCGATGGACACAACAGATAGCCCAATGTGGCTTTGCTCTAAACCAAACAAACCTGCATTAGTATATCACTTATTTCAAACTACACTTTACTTCTTGTAATGTAAACATTCATTGTCTTGTCTTTTATTATTTTTTTTAGTTAATAGGTTGTTTTAACAGATTAAAAACTTTGCACCGTTTCATATTGGATTTCACTGCAGGTGTCCCGTTGATTCCGAGATAATGGGTCCATTTGAGTACACTCTGAACAAAACCCGCGCTGTTGTTACGTTTCAAGCGCACAAATTTCCCTACACATCCTCTGTGTATTACCAGTGTAACGTCAAGCTGTGTTTGAAGACAGACGGGAGCTGTGACGATGTGGTAAGTTTGTTGGAACTAGGCTTCTGTTTGTAGTAATTGAATAAATAGTGTCATTTAAGAATATTTAACCATATTCCAAGGGGTTTGCTTGTTTTCAGCCGCGGCATAGCGGCTCACATAATGTTGTTGTTTTTTTTCAAGTACAAATTGTCAGCTCATAGATTCACAATGATTTGTAATCTAATTACAGTTTTGGACTCAGGAGGTCAAACCGTTTCGATTGATATATTTGACCACGCCCAAGGTCTCATAGATTAATTTACTCTAATCTTGCCTAAACAAATTCAAGTGCCGCGGCTATTTAGGATTCCTTCTTGTTTTATATTGTGTTCGATGCAAAGCTACAAATTGGCATTGTGCCCACTGGAGGAATCGGACCCCGAATTTTACCGTTGAGTCCCTAGAGGGGGAGGATGGTCTAATAGTTAACTGAACTTGAAAATTTCACCACGGGCGGAAACAGAACGAACAATGTTGCGAATTAAGAGAAGGTTTAATTGGATCACAATTTATTTTTAAAGTATATATATATATATGTTAAATAACTGTACTACTATTTCATGTACACTAGGCTTTAAAAATATCATTGCATTTTATTCTTATTTAACTACTCGCAACGCTAAAAACCGGGTTTCGATACCCGTAGTGGGCAGAGCACATATAGCCCATTGTGTTTAATTACAAAAAAAAACAATCTGAATCAATATTATAATTTATTAGTTCCGGTGTGTATACTAGCTTTTCTTTACGACGAGATCGAAACTGACAATCGAATAAAAATATTCGAGCATTTCTATCAATCTTAGCCGGGTTTTGGTAGATTAAGGTTAGTATGCCCGGACTGTATATCCGAGGGTTTGGGACTCGTTACTGTATAAACGTGCTACGCACCTCGGAACTGTGGGTGAGCTTATAAGAATGAAGATAAAATCCCACTATTCCGTCAACATGCGTAGTCGAAGAGTTGGCGGTGGGTGCTGTTAACTAGTTGCCGTTTTCTAGTCTAACAGCTCAAAATTAAGGACCACTGCACAGGTAGCCGTTGTATAGCTTTGCCCAAAAAATCAGAAACAAACTCTTAATCAATCAATACGTCTTAACAGGAAATCGAATGAAAATTGCAATTTTGATACCACTTTTATATTAACTAATCTTAAACTGTTTGTACGCTCAATTTCTAGCCTCCGCTGTGTGACGTCAGAGGCCGAAACCAGCTGAAGCGGCGAAGGAAAAGAGAGAGTGAAGTGGAAGAAGAAGGTAACTTGAAAGACTTACTACAAGAGGAGCAGGATGTAAGAGACCTGAGCGTAGAGGTATTTTCTGGTCTGCACGTCGATGAAGTAGACAATGTAGACGACGTGGACACTGATGACCGTAAGTTATCAGTGAGATTGTTTACACGATTTAGAAAATGAAAGCACTTAAGTATAATCGTAAATCTTAATCGTAAATTTTTACTTAACGTAAATCTATTGGCGCTTTAGAACAACAACAACAAAAATTATTTGACGGTTATTCAGTTGAAAATAGCATAAAAATATTAATAAGTAAGAAAATGGGCTCTTTTTTTTATTGTTTGTTTTAGTAACGCTACTTTTCCATATCTCGAGCGAAGCATTTTTGTGGTTACTTAGAATGTATTCATTCTGGAAAAAATGTACATCCTGATTATGAGGGCCTCCGTACATCCTTATATGGAACGAATCGTATATCAATATCTATAATCATCCACGTGATTTTCGTATAAGTTTGTGTCCAGATTCAGTAATGTAACATCACAATCTTTTGATAAATACAAACCCATCAATCCGTTAAAAAACAAAGTAATTGGGATTTTAATCTAATATTGACGAATTTAGTTTCAGGATTCGTTGTTGAGCTTGTTTAATTGTTGCCGCATTCAAGCAGTGATAACGATTTTCAGGAATCAACTTCATTACCCATAGGATTTTTCCAAAATCTTCTGAATATCCAGGAACAAAATATTCTAGATAGCATTTTGATGAGTAGAGTTCAAGTTCAATTAAGAGAAGGTGCTGAAGTAATCTTCGTTAAAATAGATTCCCTTCTTATTTTGAAACAATTATTAGGTGATTATGCAGCATAATGATCAGGCGTCCAATCATTATTCGAAATCCACACGGTATTTTTGCAGTGAATGAACCCGATTAGAATTAAAGCGATTTTAGGCCTACCCGTAAGACCACCATTGAATTAATTTATTTGAACTACATTCGTACAAGCTAAGGGAAACGTGTGACCATCTATGTAGGTGGAATCTAAAAAGCTTCAAGATAAAAGTGAGATTGAGCTGGTCTTGGAATTTTTGACAGTTTGACTTCGTGAAGGATCTTCTATCCGATTATCGCCCAAAGTCAGTGCTATTAGCCCATAAAGATTGAAGAGAAAAAAGTCAGTGCTATTAGTATTAGCCCATAAACATTGAAGAGAAAGGCAACAGAAGTAAAAGCAATAACTTTTAAATTGTTGTCGACAAGTGCAAAAAGTCCACTGCATCTATAACAATACGTAATATTAATAAGTTGTTAAGCATATAGAAAAAAATATCTTATTTAAAATATAAGATCGAACAAATGGTGGGCTAAAAAGGACACTGGACTTAAAGTGCAAGGAGGAAAGAGCATACAGTGGACTCACAAATATATGACCCCCCCCCCCCCCCC